AGGCTGCCTGCCTGAGGCAGAAATGTCCTTTGGAACCAGTAGGTATCGACTCCTCCTGCCATCTGTACACAGGTCTTTTCTGGAATGCGAATTTTGTTTGTTTGCTTTTTCATAGAAAAAAAAATACATCTACCCTGCTCTCATGCATCTCCTGGGACATGTTTTATTGTTTGGGAAAAAAAAAAAAGCCAAAGAAATAAACCCACTTAATAGAATGAATACAGAAACTCTTTTTTTTTTCTTAGTTTGATTTTATTTCACATCATCAATAATGAATGAGGATAAAAACAATCAGTTTTCTGTTTCCTGAGATGTTATTGTTTTAGAGAAGACACTTTCAATGCAATTTCATTCCGTTCCCTGCGTCTCCCAGGAAGGCAGGCTGGGGGATCACAGGTGAGAGAGCAGCTTGATCCGAGCCTCCTCCTGAGAGCCGGCTCAGCCTGCGTCCGGCCTCAGCGCCGAGGTCAGGGCTCTGAACTCAGAACCGGGCTGTTGTGGGTTTAAATAATGAGCTGGGCTCTGCTGCCGTGCTGCCCAGAAAGGCTCTTCCCTCAGGCTGCTTCGGAAAACGTGCCCTGCTCTACGGATGGGGGGAAGATGCTACGAGCAAACCTATCAGCCACATTCCCTGATTATCCGCGGGATCACTTGAGCCGGCTGCTGCCGTCTTCTCCCCGATCCTTCTGAAACAACGTGCAGGAGACGGGAATTCAACCCCCACCCGGGCTACACTTCATTGTTTGTGCATTGTTTCTCTTGCCAGATCATTCCCGGAAATCCGGCGTCTTCTCTCTCCGTACCTGGACCACGCCCCTCTGCTCTTGTCGCCCAGGCTGCTGTCCGTGAAGAAGAGTCTGAAGGAGGGGGCACGGCGCCCCTGAGACACACTCCAGGGGAATCTGGGGGAAAGGTCCCTTGGAAACAGACAGACAAACAGAGCCGACTTGCCGTGCAGAATTTCCAGAACTGTGGCCTCGAGAGGCTGGGGCAACGCCAGTGCAGAGTAGGGGTCCCAGCCTGGAGGGCTGAGACCAGGGCACAGGCTGGACCAGTGCCCTGGGACTGTGCAGCCTTGTTACCCCTGACCGTGAGAGAGCCGCATGGGTGCCAGCAGGACTGCAGACTCCTTCTGGTTTCCATTTCCTCCCAGATCTGAATCGCCGAATCGTACAAATTAGGTGGGGAAGAATGCAAACCAGCTGAGTTTTCCGGGTCTTAATCACTTGCTAATTGAACGATCCCTTTACATTTTGGAGAAACTTGCCACCCCGGGCTCGGAACTGCCTATAATAGTGTTATAAATAGGGTGAAGAAAATAGAAAAGAGAGCCGGATAGACAAACATTTAAATAATTAAAAGCCTCCAAATCTCACAGATATGTCACAGATATACCCAAGCAGCTGGTGTAATTTTGAGGCACCTGAGTCTTTTAGACTCTGGCACTGTTATAGCAAAAGAGTAATAAATGAGAGGCAAACCAGGACAAAAAAACAAGTATTCACGGAATAGTGACAGAAAATTAATCAACTCACGATGTTACACACATGCAACATAAAACATAATACTGCATAATACATCCCAGAGGCCTAAATTCTACCATCAGACAAAAACCTAGACTGCTAACTCTGGAATGTGAACTCCTATGCCATACCTAAACAGTCCAACGAGAGAAATAGCCTGTGCCCTAAACCATCAGAGAAGGACTCGGGGCTAAATCTCCCTTCCTATAAACCTGGACGCTCTAAAATGAATGGAATGTCCCAATTTTAAAAACACATCAACAACTAGGAGATAATTTCTTTAGCCTATGTATTCCATAAATAAGAATGACGATACATAAATCAAAACAAGTTGGAATTTCTTACCATCATAGGATGGCAAGCTCTGCTTAACAAGGTTCAAATTACTTAGCTTGAATCTGGTCTCCAAATTTGATCAGAATAAGGTCCTCTCACCTGACTAATTTCTTCTCTCTGTTCTGTCACTCTTCTGTCCTCCCTCCTTGTTTCTCTCACTTTACCTGGCTTGCATCTTGTGTTTCTGGATTGATGACGACTTCGCCAAAGAGTTAATTCAGTAGACTAAACCAAAAGATACCCTTTGACCCTCTGTGTTTACCAGTCCTGCAGCTGGGTAAACTAACCATATTTTATTTAAAGCTTGAGAACTGAGAGACCTTGTATTGAAATGTCAATGACAATGTGTATTGTCACACAGCTTTGTTAAGTGCCTTGGGACTTATATGTTGTGAAAGGCACTATATAAAATTGAATTGAATTGAATACAAACTTTAGCTTTTACCAAATCCCTTCCAGTCATAACATTATGAACAGCTGAGACATGCAGGGATGAGAGTCAAAGCAAGGCAACCAGTGAATTTATGGCCTGATTTTTTCTGTTCGCTTATGATCTTGCTCATTACAGGAAGAGGAAATGAATCGATGAGTCAACAGAGAGGGAGTATTGAAACTTCATCACTGCCAAATCATCGACAGGTGAGTCACCAGGCGCCCAACTGACACATCACTGCCACATTGTCAACAGGGTGAGTCGCTATTCATCCAACATACTGTAGATATCATCACTGCCAAATCCTCAATAGGGTGAGCCACCAGGCGTCCAACTAAAATATCATCACTGCCAAATCCTCAATA